GTGCCCCAGCCGCTGGGAAGGGGAGAAGCTGCTGCCGCCTGCTCTTGCCCCATTTTCAGGGCTCCCGTGGCTCTCCCCAGAGCCAGCTTCGTGCGCTTGCACTGGAGCGGGAAGTGGCCAGGCAGCGAGAGCAGAGTGAGCGGAGTCTCGCCAGCCGCTGGGATGCCCGGGGCTGGGGACCGGGAGGGGCTCCCCCAAGGATGGAGGGGGAGGGTGGGCAGGCGGGTGGGGAGTGATGGGCAGGGGTCTTGCCCTCTTCTCCCTCCACGGTCGACGTGCTTTGCGGTCTCCTGAGCGAGGCACTTCCCATAGCACGCGACCCAGCCAGGGCCCCTGCCAGAACCAGCAAAGGCGGCGACTCTCCTCCTCTCCACGGCCCACGTCTCCCCCATCCAAGACCCACCCCGCCAAGGGCAGCCCCGGGAGCAGGCTGTGGTGCCCAGATCCATTCCCGGTGGGCCGGACAGGGCCGTGCGAGAGCCCGTTCAGGGGGGAATCTTGAGTAGCCGGCAGGAGGCCGCTGGTTGTGAAGATGGAACAGGGGAAAGGGTAGTGAGGTGGCCAGCAGGGGCCTAATCCCCTAACCACTAGGCAGCACTACCAGCGATCCTGGCCCAGCAAGAGGCCTCTGCTCTCTGGCACGGCTGCAGAGAGCAGTCAGGGGAGCTGGAGCTGGAGGGGCACAAGACACGCAACGGCTAATGCTGCCAGGGGTGCTGCAGTCTGCATGGACCCCCTTTAACCCCACTGAGATGATGTGACTCAGGCTCCCTCAATCGGTGACCGTTTCCAGTTATGTGGGGTAGGGCACCCGGCCTTGTCCCGTGCTGAGTCCAGCACTCCGGCAGAGCGACCCAGGCACCCCCCGCTGCCCCAGGGGCGTGAGCCCCCTCCCCCAGACAGCGTGGGCACCCCAAGGCACCGCAGGGCTGCCGATCACTGCTGCAGGGACAGGTCTCTGGCTGCTCCCTACGAGGGCCGAGCGTTGGAGGCCACCGTTCCCCAGGCCCCCTTGCCCCAGGGGCGCTCGATCTTGGAATAAAGACCAGAGACGGATACACACCCAGGGGCAGCGCAAGGCAACTCAGAGACAATGTTGACCAGCAGGACAGGCTGTGGTCTCTACACGCCACCTTCACACGCAAAAGGAGCCGGGAGTGGAAAGTATTTGGCCTTCCAAAGAGCTGTTGCAGGGGTGACTTGTGCGTGGCCTGGAAGCACCTACACTTGCTGCTGATTCCCGACAGCTCTTTAGACTAAAGGCAGATCAAGGGCCAGAGTCTGGAGGCTGAGGTTAGAAAACGTCCTTAGAAAGCTAGAAAAGGGGACTCAAACTCAGGCTGGTACCAGCGCAGGGACTTATCCCGGGGAGCAGCTTCCCTGGGAGCATGGCAAGCTCTCCCCCCTGGGCAGGGTTAAATCAAGAAGGGAAGCTTTTCTAGCCGGGGGCTCTGGTGCAACACACCCCTCCTGGGCTCCGCGCAGGAACGGGAGGCGAAAGTCCCGGGCCTGAGCTCCAACTCAGGGGTCCTCAAAACCGTTCTCCAGGTGACCCGCGTTCACGCAGCAAGCCGCTGAGTTCAACCTCGCCCCTCCCCCGGACATTACAACCGCATTTTCCTACTTAACACTATTTCGAACGCCGCGGGCGGAACCCTCGTCTCGCCACGCTGGAATCACGACTCCCGCACATTTGACTGAATTATTGCTGGATGCAGCAAAGCTTTTCAACAGCGACGGCTCCATCCTGGGGGTGAGAAGAAACTTCGCCGCTGGCGCCTTTCACTGCAGACTCCATTGGCAGCCCTTGCTGCTGCGTGGCTGCTGGCGGCAGCGCTGCCTTCAGGGTTGGGCAGCTCGTGACCCCCCCCCATCGTCTCGCACCCCCCCGAGAGGTCGGGACCCTAGTGTGGGGCCCCCTGGATGATCAGAATCAGGCCCACTGATGGGGGGAGGGGTCTGACAATTCAAAGGGGCCCAGGGCTCCCCGCTGCCGCCGTGCCCTGGGCCCGTTAAATCGCTACTGGAGCACCGCAGGGCGCGCTCTGGGCTGTGCGGAGGGCTGGCTCTCCCCAGCCTGGCCCCTCCAGGGGCATGGAGCCAAGTGCATGCGCACCTCACCCAGGGGCCCAGCGAGTCTCTGCC